CAAAAAGTATTAAGCCATATCTAAAAATGAATTGGTTACAAATATAATACAATATATTTCATGAATAATCAACTAATATTTTTAGTTATTAAAGAGCTAATCATAGATTTCATAGCTTGGCAGATAGAAATTTAATTTATTTTTACATTCCAAATAGAATTAAACAAAAAAATATGCCAACCTTGTCCTCCAAAATTTGCAACAAAAATTGCTCTTAAGAACATATGAGAGTCAAGATTGACAATTGCTAATACCATTGAAGTTAAAAATTATTGTTGAATTAGGCATATCTGATGAATTGGATACAAAAAGCTAGTATCACCCTCTCTCTCTATCTAAAGTAAATACCAACAATTTTATAATACATGACATGCCTATTCCATACAATTGCAGCTTATCTCAAGGATAAATCTTCAACATATATAATATTTATACTAAATACAAATTGATCCTATTAATAACAACAAATCAATTTATATGTAGCAAAAATATTTTAGAAAGTTTAATTGATTAATAAAAGCAAAGGTTGGAATATTTACAAATTGGATAAAAATTATAAAGGTGATTAATTATTGAAATCTCCTAACAAAATATAATCTCTTTGCAGTGGATGCCACATGGTTATTGTATAGCTTGTACTCAAATAAAAAAAATACTAGTTTCTATAACCTTTAAAAGATCAGTTACAATTTTTTTTTTTAAGTAAGCTTTGGCCAAGAGATAAAGGAATCAGGAGTTGGCAAATACTAATCTATAATATCACTTTCTTCAATAAGATGGTAAAATTCATGTAAAAAAGAGGCTGTTTAGCTGCCACAAAATTAATAAAACTACAAGCACTGAATACAAAAATCAAATAAGAGACAAAGAAAGCAATTCTTGCCAAATCTTCTACGAAGGTAGTCCATATAGGAGAAATAAGAAAAGATTTAGAAGGACGAAAAGCATTACAAAGTCAATTTTTCAACAAATTGGTCATCTTCTTGATAAAATAATGATTCTAAAGAAAAAATGCCACACCAACTTTACTTGATTTGATTTTTGTATGCAACAAGAGTCATAATGATTGCATGCAACAAGACTTGTGATGAGGATCTAGAAAAGAAATGTGTGATGTGATAAAAGTTACTGCAGTACATTGTCAAATAGCAATACCATTTTACACCTCAAAATAGTTACAAAATGTGTAGTGTCATGCAATGAAAGCAAAAAAATTAACATTGCATTAAAATTTTAAGAGTGAAAAAGCATGTAAAAGATTAGCATAATTTAAGAGACATCAAATAAATAATAACAAACCATTGATATCAATAGATTTATTAACCAAAAAAATAAGTATTAAATACCTATTCACATCAATTTTAACTAAAAGTAGAAAAAATAATTAAAGTTGTAATATTAGTGGTCTATAAAAATTATTTAAAAGAGTATTAAAAAAACTTAAAATTTTAATATTTAAAAAACTAAAAAAAGATGATAAGAGATCTCTAATATTATTTATGTACAAACTTTGAGAGTTCTAATATTGCCTATATACAAACTTATAGTGACCTAATAAAGTCTAGTTGCTTGGCAAACTTTAATTCTTTTAAACCAATTTAATAAAAGCTATTAGATTACAAATTTTATATTAAATAAAATTTTCTAACTAAGTAATACAAGATTTTTTAGCCAAGGCAATGTTGTGTGAGGCAAAAACTATTGTCTATTTTTCTTTTTTCTTTCAAATCCTAGCTTATCCTAGATGCTAATAAAAGCTTAAAAGTTTTTGTCCTTCTTTGTAGGCATCAAGATTGATGCTTACATTTTTTTACATATTTACTACAAAAAAAGGTTTTAATTAAGATTAGTAATTTCACTACTTATTATTATCTAACTTCCTTTTAAAAATAACATGCAACATATAACTTTGCTAATTCACTTGTCTAAAAAATTCAACTTTTAGGTGTCATATTACCATTTTTAAAAAATAAAGTACTTTGATATAAAATCATTGGAACTACCTTGAACATTGAATTCTATGGCCCAAAAATATTATATGCTTATTGTAGCTCCACTACCTATAAATTGATGTCTTGCATTGCATTGCACTCCAAAAAGATACAAGAATATAGTGCTTAATTGCATGCTTTCATAAGAAATAATTTTTAAAATAAAAATGGTTTATGGAGATGGTATATATATATATATATATATACTAAATAATAAAATAAAATTTTATTTTAGTTGTATCATTTTAAACCATTTATAAATGATATAACTAAAATAAAGTTTCTTCCCAATTCAAAACCATTCTTCTTGGTAAATCTACTATTGGCAGGCGTAGGAGGAAGGGAACCCAAAGCTACTGTTCAATGTTCAGTATTTAAGTGGGTGGTTTTCACTACCACCGCCATTTGGGTCAACCGATGTTGCTGTTTGGCTCATGGCGTCATTAGACTGCAGCTTGAGCCCATTCGACAGCAGATCTTCCTTCTCCGCACAGAGACACACACGCAGAGACAGGAATTGGTCGTAATAGAATAGAAAAGAAAAAGAATCAGAACCATGGCGTTTAATGCCTTGAACAGAGAGTCCGAAGATAATAGACTTGTGCAGCACCAGGAGGGAGTGGAAGAAGGAAATGCTCTTAGTGTTCCAGGCTGAGAGTGCCAGTGCTTCTGTCGCAACTGGGATCACGCATTGATTTAAGCTTCTTCTGCCTGGATGCTGCCAGCACTGTGGCTACAAGATCTATCCATCCCAGTACAAACAAACACACAGAAACAATATTTACTCCTTCGGGATGCGGAGCCTGCTGCCAGTGAAGTGTGAAGGATTTCAGAGTCGAACCAAGTTGGTGGTGGAGTGAGAGGAAGGGTTGGGGCGGCAGCTTCATTGAGCTCTCACACGCGCGCGTGTATGTGGGAGTGGGAGTGGGTTCGTGTGTTACTGCTGCAGTGGGAAGAAGATTATTGAATGGCGCTAGATAGGAAGCCATACAACAATGATACTGTTATGATGTAGGGGCGGATAGCTGTCCCACACGACTTGCAACATGCGTACTTGCGGCGAGTCCGATCTAGCGGCATCACCATCAGAATCACTCCATTTATGATTCATTCATCAGGGTCTTATTGAGCAGGATCTTCTCCCGATGTCCTTACTCTCGCCCCGTACCCTTACCTCTTTCCCGGTTGGTGACTAGTCCGCGTTCCCGCAATTTCCAGCCAGCCGGTCAGAATGCCAACCTCTATGTCACTGCAACCATATATTTGTTAGGTGAGGTACTTTCTCTGGGGGCCATCTGCTCTTCTTTCCCAAATTGAAAACCTCAGCTTTGTAGTAAAATATTACATTGCTTCCTTAAGAAAGGTTATCACATTCGTCAAATGTAAAAGAAAAAGAAAAAGAAAGTAAATTCTGCGTCTGTGAGGAAAAGTTACACCACCCACAACCAAAACGGAGTGGACAAAAATCCATCAAGGGAAAAACAATCATGAAACATAATTACATGATGCGTCGAAGCAGAGTAAACATGAAGCAATGCCAACAGGTTATAATAGAAAGAGGAGGGGTGCTGAAATCGCCAAAAGTGGCACATATTTTTGGAAAAGGGAGGTGCGTTGGGCCACAGCAGGTCAGAAATCAATCCAGTATCATACGGGGAACCGAATAATAATGTTTGCAGGAGCTAGAGTGCCCGCATGCTGTCGTAAGGGCTGATCCATGAAGGTGTAAAATAGAATCTTTGCGGCATGGGAGATGCAACCAGGAGACGGCAATGAAGGGTTCATATGGCAAATTAAATAGATACCAGATGCCGTTCTTGGTTTTAATGGAATCAGTAGAGGAGCGGGGAAAAAAATAGAATTATAATAATCCTTTTTAAATGCTACAATAAAAGTAGAAGAAACGTGAGGTCGATGAAATAATCTACGAGTATCTGATCTTTCTGTCGAAACTCAGAGGTACTTGTACCATCTTTCCAGGTTGTAAAAATGCGGTGTATCGATGATTGACTACAAACAACTGTGCATCGATTGTGAATTTAAGTGTTGCATGGTGTTGCCCTAAATAGATCAATCGAAGCGTCATACTGTGAGGATAATTCCTTTGGAATCCCATCGTGACACTCGCTATTGCTAACAAGCGGCACGTTTGCAACAAAATCCTTGTGATGGTTATGCACCATATTTGTGACACTCATCATCATTTTTGGAGGTATCTGCAAGTTCTTGTCATATTCGTATTGCTATTTTCAGAACATAAGAATTTCGAACTCAGATTCTCTTACATTCAAAACCGCTGGAAGTTATCGGGTTCTCCGTGCATTGCAATCCGCGAAGAATGAGTTAATATTCTGTTAATCATAGATTGATACAGTCGGAAGGCTATAGCAAGGGTCTCTCCAGCAGAGCCTTGAGCGTAATCAAGAATGGAGATGTAATCACCTGCAAGACTACTCTGTGAACTATCTTGTTCAGAAGCTGACAGTGATGAATTCAGTCAGATGCAAGTACAAAAGACGATTTTAATATGCACTGCTCTTCCCTGGTGAACAGATTCACCTGATCTCGAAGGTTCACGAGCTTGAGCATGATGCTTAAGAAATGACATGAAAACAGAGGAAGTGAAGTTATGTCTCTGAAGCATTTAAAGAAAAACATATATTGCCGGAGTGGTGGTGAGCTTCGACAGGAATGAAGATCACTTTCCCGGTTACTTGCTGCAGATAACCGCAAGGATCTTCGCAGAACTTCAAGTGGAAGAAAGCAGAAGAAGCGATAGTCCTTTGTTCCATTGATTGTGGAAAGGAAAACGAAGCCCAGCGATGGTAGGACCAGTGAGGCAGGCCTCAAGTCAAAATAGTGTCAGGCTTCTGCGCCACAGCCGTGGACATCTGTGGGGGAAAATTCTTGGATAGGCGAGTGGTGGGGTCGCCCCTAGGACCTGTCCGAGACCCCAACATCCCTACGACTCGTAAGAAAGAAGAGAAAGTCTCTAAAATTTCTTCTTACCCTATTGCTGTTAAAACGCCAACAAGCCCTTGCCTCTCGGATAGGTTCCTTACACGTTTTGTTCTTCGTCATCATTCTGTTGGACATGAATATCTAGTCAGAAGCGAGGAACCGATCGACTCAAGCTTTTGTATGTGAAATTCCACCAAGTGTGAATTGCGAAACTGCTGAGGCTTGAGCATGCGGAGCGCGAGACGCTTCAGTGTGGAGGGCGATCTGTTTAGGGACTGGTCGATCTACATGCGGAATATGCAGTTCTTATATCTCTGGCGTGCGGATGCTACACGGTTGCCAATCTGATTCATTTTGTAACGTAGAATTTAGTACTATATATTCCTGGATTACTGAGGGCGGGGTTTGACGCCTGCGCACTTCAGTGCCGTCCAGTTGCACGTGCAAACATATTGGAGAAAGAGGACTGCTGGGTATTCAGGTTATCTACCGGAGGAAGTGACGGCGGTCGGAACAGGTCCGTAAGCAGTGGCATGAGGTTGTCTAGGTCACATCCTATACATGGTCGGAGCATCGTGCCACCGACATTGGGCATACTACCAAAAATAGTTTCTTAGGATCGGAAAAGAACCTTCTTCATTAATAGTAAGAGAGATTGTGGGGGACTTGCAACTCCCTATTTGTAACATCAGCGATCTCTCCGTAATTTGTTTGCAAGAGTGATTGCGTCTTGGACACGACAGAACCTCGTGTTTCTGCCATCATCGAATGGAATTCCAGCACACATAGGAGGTGACCTTACAAATTCCGTGACATCTCTATTTTGAGGTAAGGATCGTTGTAGACATCTGGTTCGTGTGCAATCAGCAAGCCGCCTGGGGATGTACGACGAGCAGTGCGTGCTTCTAAGAGAACTCTCATTCATGGGAGACCACGCTAGATGGATGACGCGGCTCCAGAACTGGCAGCTTGTAACAGCATGGTGTAGGACCAGCGGCGTCAACCATTGCGGTTGTGTAATAGTGTAACACAATTTTTAGTATTAGTGAAGAAGAGCTGTGGCGTTCTGCAACAGCTTGCATCCGATTGCATGGATTTTCTAGGGAAACAGAGCCTCGACGGCAGCGAGGAAGATAGGGACATCGATGGTGGTGCTGGGAGTCAAACCAGCCCTCGAGTCTCGTCAGAGGATCTATCGTCAGAGAGCAACACAACTTCCACTACTAATGCTCAGGATTCGGCTGCCAATGGTGCGAGAACCCCTGGCTGTCGAGGGAAGGTTCGGCAATATGTGCGCTCCAGATTGCCGAGACTGCGGTGGACAGCCGACCTCCACCACTGTTTTAAGGTGGCCGTAGAACGACTAGGTGGGCACGAGAGTAAGTACATGCTGGACACCTTAGCCCTCTTATCTCCCTTATTGATCAGAAAGTGTATAGAGTTTTGTGTTGGTTTGTCACGGTGCAAAGCCTCCTTGATCACGCGAAGGTGCGCCAATCCTCAGTCGACAGGCATCGGCATGGCATGCTTTACGATTTCTGAATCTGTGGGATCGCTTGATAGCAGTGTTTGCCCCACGGCTTTCCACTTCGAGACTGTGTTTGTATATAATGTAATATGCAGATGCATCCGAGGAAGGGCATTTTAATGAGTGCGATTAACGCTACAGCACATGGAAAGTTGAACCTTTTTTTTTCTGCCCATCAATCATCATCGCTACTGAAGCTTTTCTACCTGAGATAGTAGTTCCAAAATAGTAGGGATTTGCGCCTTTCGACCGATGCATATTATTACACTACGCTTTGACGTAGTGTGACTCAGCATTAGTAGGAAGTAGTGAGTACCTGTCCTCGTCGTTACGACGTTGGTAGGATAATGATAGTGTGTCAACACACAATACTCATTGTAGTGCATTGGTTTCGGAGTAATTTGTGCAGATAAAATACTGGCCCAGAGTTGATTCAGAAAGTACTAACAGTGTTTTTTTTTTTTTTTTTTTTTTTTTTTTTTCTTGATGTTGTTTTTTTCATTCTGAATCAGAAGCAACACCTAAGATGGTATTGCAGCTCATGGATGTGAAAGGCCTAACCATCGCTCACGTCAAAAGCCACCTACAGGTTCGAGGAATTCAAACCAAGCCTTGAACTTTTACATATCAAGCCTGCAGTAGGTTAAGATAAATTACTTGGAGGAAACTTGCTGGTGGTTTCCAGATTGCTGCAGGAAATGGTTGAACAAATTTCCAGATTATAAACTACCGTTGGACCTATTACGGTAAATATCAGTCTTCGGTTTTTCTAGACTCCAGGTGGCAGTGTTTATCTCGATCATATCTATCCTCATTGATGGAATCGAACTCAATAATGTCGCAGATGTATAGGAGCATGAAGAACGACGAGAGCGTTCAATCTGGTAGGTTCTCTCTAAGTGACCCAGTTGCTTTAAATGCCATTAGATCAAGATGCTAGTTATCCCTCTATACTCCCTATTAGGGTCTGCAGCAGCTAGTAACAATCTGGTTATACCTGGGTTACATGACCTCAGAGTCTTCTAGTCCACGTAGATACAGTTATCATCGTCAGTAGAGAAGCAAATGCAAGTTGTCTCAAGCATTACCCGAAGCAGTGGTTAGATGATCGTTACTCACATTTTGAGTCACATCTTGAGATGTGACGTTCTGAAGACAGCTGAAGATCACTTTTGTCTGTTTACCTTGTCACAGATATCGGCTACTGGAGAGAAGGGCACTTACATCCCACGAACCTTTGGCTACAGGCCACTCCAGAGCGCAGTAGGATTAGCGATGTGCTGATCCATGAGCAGACAGCGGAAATACCAATGAGATCAAGCTCCGTCAAGAAGCAGCTGGAGACAGAATGGGAAATGCGGCGACGAGAATACGATGCGCGAATAACATTTACGATGCTGATGGAGGGCCGAGTAGAATACCCGGCGATTATCACTCCAACCACCAGGGTTGAATCTCGATCTTCCACTCAGCTTCTCAAGCTCCTGGATGGGTCGGGTGACAGTGGACCTGGCAGACGAAGACCGTCTGACGTCTGGACACCCTTTTCAGAGCTTGACTTCAAGAACCAGCAGGTTTGCAATTATGCTCTCACCCCCAGTCCATGTACAATTTAGGATCCTTCTCTAGTTGAAAACGGATTACTTACATTCTTTTGTTTCACAAAAAGTGTCGTATGGCGTGATTTGAGAACGCAAACAGCATGTACTGGATTTCGTATACTTTGTATACAATCATATGCCTGTGCATACGAGGTAAATTATCTTTACTTACATCTTGTAGTAGTAAAAGCTATATATATATATATATATATATATATATACATATTCACATTTATTGATCTTATTGAAGATCAGTTATTTCCTGAACTGCAGGATGATGCACACCGTAACCCATTTCCCAGCTTTGCATCACGTCGGTTAGACATAACCTCAAGATACACCAACGATCCCCTTAAATTTCAGGGCTGTGAGATTCACAAACAGCAATCCGACTTAACCAGGCCACAGACGCAACGGCCCACAGTGCAGGATTCATTTGATCGGTATAGCTACGACCACAATTCCGAATGCAACTGGAGACAAAACAGATACTCGACGGACCCAAACAGCTCCCTTTCCCTGTCACGCCCGCACTCATGGCCAGGCTGTACAGTTCCGAGTCAGAAGGGTATTATCTTGAGCCATCGGAGTACAGCTATGGCAACGAAGCCTGTTCCTATTGTTGACTTCTTGTCGTCACCCCAGAGCAGGAATATTGGGCGCAAGGGGGCTCCAGGGGATGGTCTCAGGCTCCACTTGACCATGTCAACAGGGTCAGGTAGCGAAGGTCATGACGAAGGACCAGAGAGTTTATACCGCAAGAAAGAGGAGGATGTGGACCTTACGTTGGATCTTACAATGTCTACAAGATGACGACAGTTGAGTGTACAGGTGTACCATCTGAGATTATACGTAGAACATCATATAAGTATAACTTGTCCCTGTAGGGTTTTTTCAATAAGCATAATGTTAGAAATGGAATTATCCTGGTATTTGTAGGTTCTTCGATCTTCTGAAGTTAGAGAATAATTTCATATCTCATTATGATCATTGAACAAGAACATCCCTCACGTTCATATAGATTTGAACCAGGGACTAAAAGGAAGAACTGATCTGCTGCGGTTGCAGACAAGAGTTGCAATTTAGGAGTCTTAGTCCAACAGCTCAAGGAAGGACGATTTCACGACGTGATCCTAATCATCGATGCAAAAGGTGATGTACATACAGTAGTATTGTTAAAGATTATATCAAGAGAGAATGATCCGAGTTAAGTCATCTAGCTGCAAACAGAGTTATAATTACGGACAGGAAGTTTGCTGCATTTCCTATTGTACACTTCCAATGCTCGAGGTTGACTTTCTTCAGTCTCAGCTGGGCCGTTCAGCTTCTAATTCATCATAAGTACTAGTATCTTGCAGATGGCCAGGTTGGCCTCATTGGTTGTTGCGGAGAGTCAGAAGGCCGATATGCTTCTGTCGGTGTATCTATCTCCGAACATCTGTGAATCAAACCTAGTTGCGCGTCATGGCGGCGACCAACGCTCACTGTCCCAACCTTCAAAACTAGGCTATGGCTACGAGAGGATTACACTTAAAGGACCACCTCCTCACCTGGAAGCAGATTCATTTTCCTGCGGTTTGCCAGTCAACAGACGGAGTTCTTCTCATTCCAGGACTCAGCTTACCGCTAAATATGGCACATGTATATTTACCTCCCGCGCAGAGAAAGATCTCTGACGTTACAGCATTCCAGAACACAAGCTTGGAATGTTCGTAGACATTCCAAAGGACCACTAGCAGCTGGTATCCTTTCCCGCGCTGACACGAACACGAAAGCATGGCATCCACATCACCAGGCAGAAATTCTTTGCATGCTCCCGGGTATACTGTCATTTATGAAATATACTGTCATTTATGAAATATAAAATATTAGCATTTCAAGATCAAGAATGCCTCTGATGTATCAAGAATCTTTACAAAACACCAAAAGGTGTGTTTTATTTTATTTTATTTTATTTTATTTTTTTTTATTTCCTTCAATACACCAATGTGTGATTCCCCAAAAATCTATAGGCAGATTTAATTATTCCCCTAATATGTTGAATTGAAAAATGTGCATTCCTAATTCTATTTCAATGTGCCAAAAAAAGTTGTCTATGCATCATTTTTGTTGTGGATTGATTTACACATGATCATGAATATAGTCTCAACATAGAAGTTTTAATCAATTCAACACCATCAGTCAAAACAATTCCACAAATACCTTTTATTCTATCATGTTTTTTTTTAATAATAATAATAATATATATATATATATATATATATGTATTTTTTTCAATGATTAGGGAAACATAAAAATTAGGAAAAAATTTATATAATGTCATTTCTTATTATTCCTTAATAGATACTATCATGCTTTTAAAATCAATTACTACAAACAAATAATCAAGTGGAATTTCAAGGTTTCACATAAGACCAATGATTTTACAAAAGCCCTTTAGAACAAAAGAAACCAAAAACCCACATAATGATTATTTTCTTGAAGATTTTACCAATACACTAGCAACACTTCGGACACCAGAAACTTAGTAATGGATGGTCCAAATAAAATGAGGAAACAAAAAATCTGGTAATGATAAGAACGGAATTCAATGTTTCTTTATGAAGTTATCTTAAATGCTTGTGAAGACACTATTTTATACAAACAAGTGATGCAGAATGATGCAGTTGTTTCAGTCTTCAGATCACATTCAGAATACCAAAATGCAGATGTTACTTTCTTACATTAACAATAATTGAGTTTCTGCAACTACCCAGAGAAAATGCATGTGATGATGAATCCAAGAGAAACAAAAGTTACAAATTTCCATCATTTGTCTAGCAATTCAATGAGGATAAACACCCACTGTCGTTCAATGCCTAAACACAAACACTCATCATCAGATATGTCCACACATCGCCATCTGGGCGTGGAAGGAAAGGCCAAACCAGACCCTAGTGGTGATAAAGATCTCCTCTCTTATGGTACATCGGCATTCCTAAACGACGAAGGTTGGCAAGTGCGCCGGATCGACTTTTATCCAAGCTTTCCACAGATTCTACAAGTCGCACAGTCATCGGCACAGGGCAGTATCCATGCCGTGGGGTGCCTACTTGAGGGATCGCAACGTCAACTTCAATATTCCAGTCTAGTAATCGGTACATCACCACGATTGTTATGGAACAGGTGAGAGAACAATATATATTCGGGAAAGAATTCCAGTTGTTTGGGGATGAAAGGGGCGGACGGTGAGTCTAAGCTCACTGACAGCCGAGCAGATCATTCACACGAACCAGCTTCTCCTGTCTGACTTCTGGAGTGCGATCGCTATCCGGACAATCTAGCGTCGCTTCTGTTTGTCCCCAAGTTGACTTCCTAAGTGCAGAACCCGAAGGTTCACTCATGTAAAGATCATGGGATTGACCGCCGCGCCGGGAAGCAGACCAGGAAGCTCGACGCTTCAAATCGAGTGACGCTCTTGCCCGACAAGACCACATTTTTTAATAGAATACTGTTACTGTGGATCCAAGAATACTGTTACTGCCGGCGGTGGATTCCTTGGACTGAGGTATGAATGTGGTCCTGACGTGTTTGATTTGTGCAGCTGTTGTTACGAACTGAGATATTCCACGCTACTTTCAAAGCAGGAGCAGTGATTTTCTGCGGAACGGTTCCCTCTGCAGTGACCTCTTGACATTCATTCGTATCATAATACTGTGGGTTTGGAAGTGTCTCCAACGGTTGCTCCCTCCTCTCATCGGCCATGTCATTTCAACAAGTCGTGAGGGTTCATTCTGTCTCGTTTACGGCAACTCTGCAAGACGGCACAGAGCAACACAGCACAATGACTACACAACGACGAAGCATTATCACAACTGTGGTGCTGGAATGTTGCTCCTCCTGTCTAGGATGCCCTCTACTTTGCAATGTGGTACATATTTCACTTTAAACAGTGTGCTATATGAACTGCTCCGTGAGTATAAGCTGGACCTTTTTGCAAGGGTTGCGACCACTACCAAGTCAAAGGTACTTGGGCATTGAAGTCAACAATCCAAGTGATGAGAGCTGGGGTTCGCCCCACCTTCTCTTTATCTCATTTGGACTTTAGTTTGCTATCTGTGTTTTGCTCCTTAGAAATCCTTCAAAACTCTATTGTTATTATATTTGTCGATTTCAATGACTTTTCTTTTACTACAACTTAATTTTAGAATAGATTTTTGTTGCAATGAAATCCTTCAAAACTCTATTGTTATTATATTTGTCAATTTCAATGACTTTTCTTTTACTACAACTTAATTTTAGAATAGATTTTTGTTGCAATGAAATCCTTCAAAACTCTATTGTTATTATATTTGTCAATTTCAATGACTTTTCTTTTACTACAATTTAATTTTAGAATAGATTTTTGTTGCAATGAGGTACATATATGTAAGAACTATATATATAGATATATACATGTGTGTAGAAGTGATATTGCACTATGAAGGGATATTATAAAAATAAGAGATGATAAGCCAATTTGTACTACAATCCTAAAGTAATCATATTAGATTGATAACTAAATCAGCTGAAAGAATTTTAATATTGATGGATAGAATACTTAGATGAACATTGTCTATAGAAGAAAAGATATTTCAATATCTCATATCAAGTTTTCAATCAAGCAATCCTAATTGTATCTTTGATGGACTATTTTGGTGGAGAGAGAAAAATGCATCAATAGTAGAATAAGTATACCAATTGTGGAGAGAGCAGATCAATTGTAGAAAGAGAGCATCATTTATAATCTATATATACTATCTATTTAGGATTTATGTAGCAACATTCTACAGGACCTCCAAAAATATGTTGACTTTGCATGACATATATCTTAAGTTGAAAGACAAGTTTTTTATATAGACACCACATAGTTAGTTTGTTTCGCAAACTACCAACACATGTGGCATGTGGTTAACTTGTTGACTAAGTTTATAATCTATTAATTAACTACAAATATATGTAAAGTCAAAACAATTTTTACAAATCTTCTAAGAAGCTTCTCTAGAAGATATTATGAAATCAATCTACTTTTATCCACTTCTACCTATTCATATTACATAGGCAATAATTGCATTAGATATACGTTTGTGACATTATCGTCTTTTCTAAGAATGAGTTTCATGAGGAGCAGAGATTATATTATGAGGAAGTCTAAGATGCCACAAATTGTATTTGTGATATACTTTGAACTTTGTTCTCTTTGAAGATAGTTGATAGATCCTCTCAGCCATAAATAATGTCTTATTCTAGGGCAAAAAGATTATCATGTTATTTGATCATTATTGAAACTTTTGTAATTTTCTTCAAACAAAACATTTGTAACACTATCAGGAGTCATTCCTACCTCCAATAAAATTGCCAAATATCGAGAATTTCATCACAAGTCATAATACCAAACATATTGTATCTCACCATCTATTTGAAGAAGAACATGTTGTTATTGAAGATCTTGATCTCTATTACATCATTTTGAAGGTTGTGATAATCACAATGTCTTGTTTAGTAAGTCAGCAAATGATCACTCTTGAGTTGAATCTATTGACTTTTGATTTTCCATCTCTTTAACGCTACAATTATATAAAAATTACAAATAAAGATAAAAGGTAAAATATAAGCTTTGCTAAATTATATATTTTTTATAGCAAAGGTTTGCTATCCTTCATCTTGGTTTTGATAGATGATAAAAAGCTTTGACCTTCTTTGCAATATTTGTAAGATTTAATGCTAGCTCCTATGCACATTTGCTAATATCATATCCATGCCAATGAATAAGATATTTTAACTTATGTCGGCATAGCCTCAAGTCTAAAACTTATTCTATTTCAAATTCTTGACTATTATCCACTTTTATAAGAGGTGGTGGTATTTGTCTTCTGCTTGGAATATTCATTATTTTATATCACTCTAAAAGAGATACATGAAATATGGGATGGATAGAGAAAATTTGCCTTAAGAAAGCACTAAGCTTTTGATTGTTACTAAATGCTCAATCAAGCTTTAAGATTAAAAAAAATACCAAGTTTATATATAATTTTTTTCTTATAGGGGCAATTATATTAATATATAAGTTCTAAGCACCAAAGATCACCAAATTTTGTGACAGAAATATTATAAAATCTTATATATCCTTAAGGTGAATTTTTTCCAAACTTCAACAATGCATACCTCATGATTGGATTGTCCAAATAAATTCAAATTTTATATAAAGTACTAATATACTTTTAACAACTAACATAATAAATTTCAATTGCAAATTTGTTGAAGATCTTGAGATATTGCTAAAATCCTAATTGTAGCTTCAAATCCTTATTTACATACATTTATGTGTAAATTTCTTAATATCTCATAAATTAAATATTCAAATACCATAAAATTTTGATATATAGCTTTTTAACCTAATAAAACATATTTTTAAAAAATTTGAATAAAAAATTCATCCAAAAACTCAAGGTATGGTTCCAATTATTACTATCAACAAAACGACTCATTTACTGCCTTTGTATTATATGTGCAGTCTTCAATACTCTATAACTTCTTCATACAAATTCCAAATAGAAAAATTATTTTATAATAAATGTAGATCTTAAAACTATCCTTGTAGTGGCTTCTTTTGATCTCCAAAATCTATCATAAAACTTCTTGTATCTTCAAAATAGTAATAACATATCTTAAAAAGACACCTTAACTTCAAATGGCTATAACTTTATTACCCTAACTCCAATTCTTCTAAAGTTTGTATACAAATTGTAGCTCAAATCTTATACTTTATAATCCTTACTTTTGATTTTCAAATGCCTCTTATGAAGTTACCAAAACCCTTGTTATGGTCACAGACTACGTGCTGAATGCCTATTAGGCATGGCCTTCA